GGGGGGGGGGGGGGGGGGGGGACAACAAGCATTAGCTCTGCAACCATCATGTCCTTTAGTGTTGCTCAGTTGTCCCGAGCGCCCCCTAGTGGACAAAACACTTCTTGTCTTCAAGAGAACAAAATTTTTTACACGCAACTGTTTAATAACTTTACTTATAACAAAATTATATTTTTTATTAAAAAAAAAAATTTAAATTACAAAAAACACCAAATGAAATGCTTAAAAAAACAAAAAAAAAAACGGTTTGTGTTCGTTTCCTTTATTTTAGCTGATGCCATTTATCTTTTTAAGTTTTGTTGTGGTATTTTAATAGTAATGAAAGCACCAATGAAAACAAAAATGCAGAAATTTATTTTTAGAATAAAGGTTTTAATCACCAAATATACTATTTTGCCCACATTAGATAAAATAACTGATGGCGATCCATCAAATTTTAAATTTTATGTAAAAAATAATACTAATTAATGAGGTACAAGCAAAAAGTTGCTCAGCCTTTAGTTCCTATCAGCTTGATTAGTAAAGTATTTTTGAATTGAATTTTAGCTACTTTTAGTTTTGACAGCATTTTTGATACTTTTACTTGATATTTGCTTCAATAAGATTTTAGCTACGGTTGTGCTTTTTTTAATCTTTTAACTAGTTCTGCTCCATTTAGCTTTTAGCTAGTCTTTAGCTTTTGTTAGGTTATGCTCTGCTTCAAGCTTTAGATAGTGTTTAGTTTACATTAGCGTTACCAAGTGTTTAGCTTGTTTTAGCTTCTGCTCCTTTTAGTTTATATTTTGCTTCTTCTAACTAGTTTTCGACGCCTTTTAGTTTTTAGTTAGTCTTTAGCTTGTTTTAGATGTTTTCTGCTTTTTTAACTTTTAGTCTATGTTTAGCTTGTTTTAGTTAATATTCCATTTCTTTTAGCATCTAGCTAGTTTTAGCTGGTTTTCTGCTTTATTTTGATTTTAAGGAACATTCTGCTACTTTTCGTTTTTACCTAGCGTTTAGCTTGTTTTAGCTTTTCTTCTGCTCCTTTTAGCTAGTGGTCTGCTTCTTTTAGCCTGTGCTTTGCTCATTTTAGCTTTTAGCAAGTCTATAGCTTATGTCGGGTAGTTCTCTACTCTTTCAGGCTGTAGCTTGAGGTCAGTTTCCATTAGCTTTATCAAATGTTTAAATAGTTTTAGCTGGTTTTCTGCTCTATTTAGCTTTTAACTAATGTTCAGCTTCATTTAGCTTCTAGCTAGTTTTCTGCTTTATTTTGATTTTAATGAACATTCTGCTACTTTTCATTTTTACCTAGCGTTTAGCTTGTTTTAGCTATTATTCTGCTCCTTTTAGTTTATATTCAGCTTCTTCTAGCTAGTTTTCTGCTCCTTTCAGTTTTTAGCTAGTCTTCTGCTTGTTTTAGCTCACTTTCTGCTTTTTCAGCTTTTAGTCAATGTTTAGCTTGTTTTAGCTAATATTCAGCTTCTTTAGCTTCTGGATCGTTTTAGCTGGTTTTCTACGTTCTTTTGATTTTAATGAATATTCTGCTTCTTTTAGTTTTTACCTAGCGTTTAGCTTGTTTTACCTGCTATTCTACTCTTTTTTAGCTAGTGGTCAGATTCTTTTAGCCTGTGTTTTGCTCCTTTTAACTTTTAGCTAGCCTTTAGCTTAGGTAGTTTTCTGCTCTATCAAGCAAAGAACCGTCGGTTCAGTTTTTATCAACTTTACCAACTGTTAACTTTGTTTTAGCTGATTTTCTGCTATCTTTAGCTTTTAACTAATGTTCAGCTTATTTTAGCTTTTAGCCAGTGTTTAGATTTTTAAGCTCCATTTAGCTTTTATCTGGTCTTCAGCTTGTTTCAGCTCCACCCCTCAGTTTCAACTGAACAAAGCGGACCTGCAGAGGCACGTCGACCCGGCTGGCCACCTCTCTGACCACGGCGGCAGTGACGGCCGTGGTGGCGTAGCGCTGGTTGCTGCTGAACTTGATGACTGGACCCTGAGGGGGGAAAAGTTCGGTTCAGTTAGACCCGATCAGAACTCGACGGAGGTAACTGGAAGGAGGACAAAACCCACTGACCTTATGGAAAGCTGGGCGGTGGTTTTCCTCATGTTTCTCCCTGAAGACCAACGAAGAAATAAATTTTGATTCATTGAACTAAAGAGAAGAAGCGCGGATCAGCCGAAGTTATTTACACGTTTGAGCCGAAGTAATTTACATGTTTAGAGTCCTGCAGGAACACACGAAGGACTCGTTTCTACTGCAGGACACATGTATCATGTGCACACGACTGGTTTCATCATCACACAGGTGATGATTTCTGATCCTGGCTAATTTAACGACATCCGGTCGGTTCACCTACACTGTGTCAGCAAAATATCTCACAAATCCTTCAGAAAATAATAAAATAATCCCTGGCTGTGCATCCACAACTGATTGATTCGTGGAACCAACCCAATCAAAATGTCCGTCCCAGCTAACAAACCTCAGCCGACACTAAAATGGCTAAAACTCAAGAGATTTCAGCAGATATTGAGGTCGAGTTGGGTGGGGTAGCAGCTGAAGGTCATTCCTCAAAAGAAATGCATTCCTTCAAGGAATGTTAGGGTTTTAATTTAAGCAATGCCTTGTGTAAAATGCTGATTCAGCATTCTGCTACTTTTACCTCATAGCTATAATGAGCTAAATAATCCCAATACCTCATAGTCCTTTGCTACTCTAATTTATAGCTACTGTTCTGTAACTTTAGCTTTTTAGCCATCCTTTAGCTACAGGAAAAATCCAGTTTTATCTGATTTGAATCTGTGATTTTACGGGAGAAATCTTTAGCTTTCTTTTTTATTAATCAGGATGATCTAGAAGCTGAAAACGTTCAGACGTTTTAGAGCGGCGTTCTCATGTCGACACTGACTGGTAGTTGGGGTGCACGGCGTGCGCCATGTCGGCACTGATCATGAAGGACCGCGGCACCGCCTGCTGGAAGGCCGTCAGGTTGGAGGAGCAGGCGGAGAGGCGGCTGAGGATCATCTCCGTCAGGTTGGACTGAGCTCCTTGAGCGCTCTCAGATCCTACCTGCAGTGAACACAACACATATCCCGATGGTGAAAAAGTGCGCGGCTAACTTTAGCCTTTAGCTAACTTTAGCCTTTAGCTGACTTTGGACGCGCTGAACGAGGCAGCTAATTAGGCTAACTGGCAACAGGTCAGTTAGAGGACTGGGGATAAAAAGAGTTGAAGCTCTCGATGTAAAAGTGGGCAGGAGTTCTTCAGTCCGTACAAACTGTTTATGGACAAATTAACTCTACGCTCTCACAAAATGCTGTTAAATCCTGTTTTCCTGAGATCTCAGACCTAAAATAAAAAATCTGAGCAGGTGGAGAACAAATGATGGTTTTTTTTTACAGTAGTACCTCGCTACTTCTTGGTTCGACTTTTGTGGACTCGCTCTTTTGCGGTTTTTCAAAGTAAGATTGAACACGACAAAATATTGTCAACTTTAACATGACTCGCATGATCGAGACAGTACAGGATACAGTAAAAAGTTAACGAAAAAAATACTTTGGACAGGCGCTGCCATTTTGTAGTTTTCTCTCAATAAGCATACACTGTATTGCCACTCAAAAGAACTACATTACCCAGAAGCCAACAGTGCATCCAGCCGCTGCTTTCTGCCGAAATGGAGGGAAAGTTTTGATCTTATCTGAAAAAGTTTGGTCTTTATTCATAGTGACTTTGGCGCTCAGTGGATGCAGAGAGCTGATCAGAACCGGACCAGAACCGGACCAAGGCTGGTGAGTACCCATATAAAATTTTGCAGTACTGTGCAGTACATATACATATGTTAAATGACGTAGGTTTAAGAGTTTAGAACATTACAAGAGAGTGGGAAGGGTTTACAAATCCTTAAAATATGTATAAATACTCAAATAAAAAGCGTTCCTACTTCGTGGTTTTTCACCTATCGCGGGGGTGTCTAGAACGTAACCCCCAAAATAATCGAGGGGCTCCTGTATGAAATAGACCTGGAGGACAGGTTAGAGTCTTCACTTGTAAAAACTTCAACAAAAACAGAAGACGCCTCAGAGTCATTGGTGAAAATCCTGCGGCGCTCTGACGGAGTGTTCAGAGAAGAGGACTCACCTCCTCGTTGTCGTACAGCGTGACCATGCGGACGTTTGGATCTTTGGTCAGAGATTCTCCGCCACACGAATCAATCAGGCCCTGGAAGCAGCAAACAGACGGGAGGCAAAACGGTTGGGATTTAATAACAACTCCATTTCTTTTATGTATTATTGCACTTAATGAGAATTATAGCAACTAACAACGCAGCACGACTGCTTCGCTGAAGGTTCTTAATGACATTGTTGAAGCACTGGATGCTAAGGATTATTGTGCTGCACTTTACTTAGACCTGTCTGAAGCTTTTGACACCGTGGATCATAACATCTTGTGTCATAAACTCTCAGAAATCGGTTTCTCAGAACACACCATTGGTTGGTTCTCTAACTATCTCTCAGATCGAAGGCAATGTGTTCAATGGTACTTCCTCCAGTTATTTAACAAACAATGGCATACCACAAGGCTCAGTCTTAGGACCCACCCTCTTTACAATCTACATAGGTAATGTAGGTCAGAGCATCCCTGATGCATCCATACATTTATATGCAGACGATACAGTTGTTTATTGTCGAGCTAAAACAGTTGCTAAGGCTCTCCAGCTTTTGCAGTCCGCCTTTCCAGTCAGACTTGCTTCGTCTCAAACTTGTCTTAAATGCCGATAAAACCAAAGGGATGCTCTTTTCAAACAGGAAGTCAGTCCCAGCAGTTCTTCCTCTGATTATATCCTTTAATGGTGCGCCTATTGAGTTTGTCGATTCCTACAAATATTTGAGTATCTTGGTCGACTCGCATCTCTCTTTTAAGCTCCATGTGGAAAACTTGGTAAAGAAACTGAAACTTAAACTGGGTTTCTTTTTCAGACATAGATCCTGTCTAACTCTGAACGTTAGGAAACGCCTTGTAACTGGGACTTTCCTTCCCTCCACTGACTACGATGACATTATTTACATGAACGCTCCTACAAGAACCCTGCAGGTGTTGGATGCTGTCTATCACGGTGTGCCAAGATTCATAACTGGCTGTAACTACCGTACCCACCACTGCACCCTGTATTCACTGGTTAACTGGTCATCATTAACTTTATGCAGACTCTCTCAATGGTACATTTTCATCATTAAATCACTTCTTGGTCTGCTGCCTTCATACATCTCCTCCTACATGTCTCTGCGTGAGTGCAGCTACAGCGTGCGCTCTCAGGACATCATTACCTGCAGTGTTCCCTCAGTTCGGACTGAACTTGGCAAAAGGGCCTTCTCCTACTCCGCTCCTGTTTCCTGGAATATCTTACAAAAAGATCTGAAGCTCTCGACCTTGACCTCTCTAAGTGGCTTCAACCATCTGTTAAGTTCCTGGCAAGAACCAATGCAGACATGTTCCTGTTTTTAGTTTTCTAGCTGTTTTTTTTCCCGCTACATTTCTTTCTCCTTTTAATTATCAGTTTGTTTTCAATTGTAAAAAAAAAAATAACAAAAAAAACTTAAATTTGTATGAATCATTTATGATTGTTGTCGTTGTTGTCATCCATTGTTGTCATAGCTCTTTGTTAAAATCCAGGTCTCTCTTGTAAATGAGTCCTCGTGGCTCAATGGGACTAACCTGTTTAAATAAAGGTTGAATGAATTATTTGAACATTTAGGATGAGCAGTTTGTGAGTTGATCTGACCTTCAGGGCGCAGTAGCAGCTGTGCAGGTTGTCCAGGCGAGGAGAATAGATGAACTCTTCGAACACACCTCCCAACGCCTGCAGAGACCAGAACACGACACCGAAGTCAACAAATACCTTTAAATGTCTTAAATCAAACTATAACCTCCTTCTGACTGGATCCAGTGGGTTTATTGTCTCCCGCCATAAACGTCAGACGATCTCGTGATTACCAGAGTGTGTTCATACGTCTGTTAGTAAAATATCTCATCAACCAGTGGACTGATTGCAGAGCTCTGAAGGAATTTCTTGAAGTTTGCTAAAGAAGCTGAAACTGTGTCATTAAGTTTTAAAAGCATAATACCTAGCTAAAAGCCAAAGCAGCAAAAGGCTAACCAAAACCTAGAAGTAGCAAAAATCTAGCTAAAAGCTTAAAATGTGCAAGACAGCAGCTAAAAGTAGTATAAGGCAGGGGGGAAAAAAGTTGAAGCAGACTTTATTTGTAGCCTTTTATTGTTTTTAGTTTTCATCAAGCCTTTTGCTATTTTAGTTATTAGCAAACATTTTGATGTTTTAGCTCGTTTTGCTACTTTTTAGCTTCTAGCTACAGTTTAGCTTGAAGCTACCCTCTTGCTATTTTTAACTCTGTGTTTTTGCTTTTTTAACTTGACAGAATTTCAGCTGTCATTCAGCTCCCACCATTCATACTGTTTTTCAAAACAAGTATTTTCTGTCATTTTACATAAACTATAGTATTGTAGTAATAACGTATTATAGTATTATAAGACTATAGTATTGTAGCACTACAGTACTATAGTATTGTAATACTATAGTATTGTAGCACTATAGTAGTACTATAATACTACAATATTGTAGTACTATAATACTACAATACTGTAGTAAGAAAGTACTATAGTAGTATAGTACTATAGTATTGTAGTTATAAAATACTATAGGATTATAGAGCTATAATACTATAGTAATATTACTACAATACAATATAGTAATAAAGTACTATATTATTATAGTAGTATAATACTGCAATTAAGTACTATAGTATTACAGTACTTTAATACTGTAGTAATAAAGTACCATAGTATTATAGCACTATAATACTATAATATTATTATATTAAAATACTATAGTACTAAAGCATTATAGTGCTATAGTACTATAGCACTTTAATACTATATTGTATTGTAGTAATAATATTACTATAGTATTATAGC